GAGACTGACCTTTCAGAGAGACAGGCCAGGAGGGGAGGCCCAGGAAACAGGAAAAGAGGGAATGTAAGAGAGATGGCCTAACCTGGCTGCCACTTGTTATTGTAAATTACATTTTATTGGAACTTAGCCATACTCATTCATTTATGTATTATCTATGAATGCTTCCAGGTGACAATGGCAGAACTAAGTAGCTGTCACAGAGACCACATGGCTTGAAAAGTCTAGAATATTTACTATCTGGCCCTTTACAGAAAAGTTCACCAGCCCCTGGCATAGGGGTCATAGGTATAATAATAAACGGTGACAGTTGCTCAGCACTATGTTTCTGCGACTGTCCTAAACATGTCACATATTCTAACCTCTTTAGTCCTCATCATAATCCTATGAAGTGGCTACTATTTATGGGAGATGGCCCCAGTGACCCTTGTCTCCTGGGATTCACACCCCTGTGGAATCCCTCCCACCTGGAGTCTGGGACAGCCCGTGCCTTGTACCGACTAATGGAATGCGGTAGAGTGCCATCGCCTTTAAGAGGATTGGTGGCTTCTGCTTCCTCCCTTTTGGAACACCTTGGGAAACCCTGAGATGCTATGTATGAGACCTCATGTGGAACAGAAGGGGAGGCCACGGGGAAAGGAGAGGCTCTGAAACTTCGAGGAGAGGGCAAGGGGCCCAGCTGACCCAGTCTCAGTCCAGCCTCCAGACGACCTCGCCCCAGCTACCATCCAGATGCACTTGCACGAACCACCCACAGGTAAGACCAGTGGAACTGCTCAGCAGAGCTCAATCCACCCACAGAACTGGAAGAGACAGTAAATGGTGCTTAAGCCACTACTTTTGGTAGGGGTGGGGATGGTTTTCTGCAGCAATAGCCACCTGAGATGTGACCATTACTAAGATTACCCCAGGTATACCTGACCTTGAAGCCCTTCCTTTCCACCCTCTCTTATCCAGTGGTTTGAACCCCAGTGTAGATATTAGAATTCCCTGAGGAGCTTTTACAGACCCTGATTAAATCAGAATATCTGTGAATGGGGACCTGGAGTAGGAAGTTTTGAAATCCCCCAGGATTTGAGAACCATGGCTCCATCCATTGTTTTCAAAGTTTGCCTAGCACACCTATTTAAAAAACAGATTCCTGCACTCCAACAGATAGACCGAGTCCATGGGAGGGACCTGGTAATCTGTAGCATTAACACATTCCTCCAGAAGAACCCTATTAGCAGTCATTAGCAGATAAAGGGTGACAGGAGAGCCCAGCCCTCAGGTGTGGGGAAGTGTTTGGCGGTTTCCTATCAAGTTAAACATTCACTTACCAAAAACTCAGCAATGCCCCTCTTGGGTATTCCCAATAGAAATAAGTGCTTGCATCCACCAGACGACACACACGCAGATGTTTGTGCCGGCTTTATTCATAATGGCCACCCATGGGAACGTGGATAGACAAGTTGCAGTACATCCACGCAAGGGACCACGGGCAGCAGTGAAACAGAATGAAGTACTGATATGCGCAGTGTCGGTGTGGATGGCTGGATTTCACAGGCCTGCCACTGAGTGAGAAGAACCAGACACAGAGTGCTGATTCCACCTATATGAAGTTCAAGGGCAGACAAGACTAATCCATAGTGAGGAGATGAAAATAGTGGTTGCTGCTGGGTGTGTGTAAACTTTGCTCCTTCACAGGACACAGGGAAGGCTTCCCAGGGTGGCAGCCAGGGCCATAGAGCAAGACTTACCTGTACCTGATAGGCCCGCTCGATAGGCCTTTTCTTGCTTGCTTGCTTATTTCTATGTCTATTTGAGATGTACATTGTACATTGAGATGTACACAGTAACGATGAACAAATCTTAAGTGTACAGTCCAACGAGTGTTTACATGGAGGACTGAACGTCATGCAAAGTGCTGTTCTAGGCTCTTGGAAAGGGAGCCCAAAGCTATGAGACCTGTCTGCATGGGTTTTGTGATCTGGTGAAGGGTACACCACAATACAGCGTGGAAGGTTCTGTTTTCGCCCATTCACTTGTCAAGTGTTCTTGAGCATCTACTCTATGCTGGGCACTGAGCCAGGTATGGGAGATAGGGTAGCAACCAAGACCCAGGCCTGCCTTCAGGGCTTTGGAGAGCAGCACAATAAATGGTTAAACCCACCTATTCCACCACCTAAACATGTTCCAATTCACTCTCCTCATCTCCCACCGACCCTGCTACCTTCTCTGCTCTGTGGACTTTCATAATAGTTTCCTGATTGATCACGTTTCCAATCTTCTGCGTCGGATTCATTTTCCGCATCAATAGCCCCTATGTATGTGCTTGATCTAAAAACCTCAAAATTGATGAGTCCCCATTTCCCAGGCAGCTCTGGTGCTGGCCTCTGTGGGTCGAATCTTCACTTACGGGGTCCATAATTGTGACCATAGGCAAGTTTCTGCTATGTCCTGAGCCTCGTGTGTGTCTTCTGTAAAATGGAGATGAAATAATATTAACAACAACCACACCTGTCTCCCTGAAGAGGTTGAGCTTGCACCCGTATCTTCCCAATCCCTTGCATGGCTCGTTCCTCCCGCCTCTCTGCACTACCCAGTAATAGCGAAGCGCTTCTGTTCACTGACACATCCTCTGGTTTCAAGGCCTGAGACTCTACTCTTGTGCTCCTGTGTGAAGCGCCCTTCTCTCCACGTTCTCTGGCTGGTCATCTAGCCACTGCCTTCTCTCGGAGCCTTCCCTGAAGCTGCCCACAGGGCTGCATGCTGCTAATCTGGGCCCCCCCACACCCCAAATGGAACTAGCTGTTTGCCTCCTGTTTCTGTCTGTCTCCACTGGCTTGAGTGTGAGCTCCTGCTGCGCTGGCAGCCTCTGAAGGGCTGAATCAGACTCTTATTTACACCCAAGCTGTGGACCTGGGCCCCACCCATCCAGGGCAGGTGCTGCTGGGTCTACTGACCTGAGCAGAACATGACAAGCATTTTCTTAAGGGAGGTGGCCTTGAGGGATGTGTAGGACTTCAAAAAAATTTTATTTTAAAACAAGTAGTGCATGTGCACCATACCAAATCAAAAAGGAGCAAAAAGGGGTACAATGGAAATTCAAAGTAGGTCTCCTCTCAACCACCCAGCCTCTCCCTAGAGGCCACCACTGGCATCAGTTTCTGAGTATTCTGTTCAGGCAAGAATTGCCAGCCCTCCCCCAACCCTTACCTTTTATTTTGCAAAAATTTAAGGCAACAGAAAAGTTGCAAGAATAGTACAACAAACACCCTTTGCTAGATTCACTAACATGTTGCCACATTATGCTAAATATTTTACAAGCATTATATCATTTAATGCTCACAACAATCATTCAATCATGTCAATTTTGTAGATGAGGTCACTGAGGCACCAGGCAGGTTAAGGGACATGCCCAAGGCCACAGAGCTTCTGAGGGTGGAGCTGGGCTTCCCCTTAGGCTGCTGGAGGACTTTGATCTGCCTCCTACAGCTCCCTGTGGAGGAAACCATTTTCTTACACCAAGCTGAAATCCATCTCCCTGGGATGTTCACCAGATGATCAGTGGAAAAGTACACAGCTCTGGGAACATTTGCTACTCCTCCTAAAACCTCCTTATTCCCTAAGCAACAGCTGCTGTCGCTGCTGCTACCACATGCTTCAATGTCACCTCCCCCTGAGAAGGCAGAGTTAGCTCACTCCTGTTTAAAAACTCTCCATGACTCCCGACTGCCAGCCAGATGACATTTACACACCTGGGCTTGGAATCCAAGGCCTGGTGATCTGGGATCAGGCCCTCTTGGAATCCCTCTCGCTTCTTCTCCCGCTACTCCACCTCCAGCCTCACTCTACCTCCCACAGTGCGCTTACATTTCCCCTCCTCCGTAAAGCTGCCCTCATTTTCCTAAAGAAGGCATTTCCCCCTCTGCGCTGCTTGCGCCTTTGACGGCCTTCTCCAGCTTGTCTTTGGCCAGGAAATTGGACGACGGAGCACTGGAGTGACAGCTCAGCCCATTCCTAGCAAAGGGACCCTGCACAAATCACTCGAGGTGTCTGAGCCTTCGTTTCCTCCAGCACATAATGGGGGAAAGAATGCCTTGCTCAGTACCTGGCTGAGAGTCAGCCTTCGCTGATCTCCCATAATAGAACTGACAGCTCTTCAAGGCTGCTGACATCGTCTCTTAGTCATCCCACGAAGCACTCCCTCCTATTACCTCACTTCCCTGCGCCTTAGTCTCCTCTTATGTAAAACGGGGACGATACTGGAGAGGCCGTGAAACTTCAATGAGCTAATGCATATGGAGCACTCCGAGCAGAGTCTAGCCCGTAGCGAGAACGCCAACCGCGGCTCCTACGACAGGGCCTGGCACGCAGTCGGTGCTAACCGAATCCGCCGCGAGCCGGGCCCGGGGTGTGCCGAGCGGGCGCTGGAGGGCGAGCCTGGAAGCGAAGGGCCCGCCGAGGGCCCGCCGAGGTGGGCCCCGCCCGGGCCCCGCAGCTGTCAGGCGGGCGAGCCGCGGCGCCAGTCCACCAAACCTGAACGCCCAGCGCGCGCCCCACCTCCTCCGCCCGCACACGATACCTTGCGCCGACCGGCCTCGGTCCCGCCCACCACCTCCATTGGCCCAGGAATTTCTTTGTTAGCCGGGGCGCGCCGCCGCCATTGGTCGGCGGGGCCGTCGATCGCGTCCGGCGCGGCCCCGCCCCGCGCCGCCCCGCGCCTCCCCG